GAAAGACGGTCGTCCCCGCATATATGGTGCCGCTCATACGATCAAAAGTTCATCTTTGGGTCCTTCAACGTCTGCACCACCCCAGGGAGTTGTCGTCGGCCCAGGCTCCAAATCTGCGGCAACGCCTCCATGGCTGTGTAGATGAAACCCATGGCGTGTTCCGCAGCAGACGCTGCAACGATCCATGACCCAGGCCTGCTTTATAGGGTCCCTCGTCTCGGCGCCGGCAATAAAAGGTTGGGAACGTGGTGGCTTTGAAATTGGGGTCGTCGTCGGGGATGCTCGAGAGATGATGCATCAGCTCTCGCTCGAAGAGTTCCTGCGTATTGGCGGGTAAATGATGTCTCACGACGGGGATTGCCTGCAAGAGGTAGAGGCAGGCCGCCATGGCGTGGGCCGAGCCGGCATGGATGCGGCTCTCGATGGGAATGTGAGCAAGGTAGGTCACAGTCAGGACATCGTTGGCCCAGGCACAAATGTCGAAGCTCTGAGCGCGGGCCAGTAACTGGACACCGGTTTCGGTAACAAAGGTGGCGGATACTTCGTCGTCCGTGTTTGCGTTGGACAGCTGTGCGGCGGCAAGGAGGATCTCGAGGATCTCGGGCGGACAGCAGAGATAGCTGTTGGCCGTGGCACGCTGCAGAATGGATCTGGCCTCGACCGACTGAAAATAGGAGGCATCGGCCGTGGCTGAGGTGTTGGGCATGAATGCTGATGCGAGAATGTAGTAGCTTCGAGGTGCGCGCATGTGAGCACTGGTCTTTGGATGACGTGGGCCAAAAAGAAATAAAAAAATAAAATAAAGAGAAACTCACATGAAACAATCAGACAGTATGTAGTCTCTCAAGAACTCTGTGGAGGACTCGGCGGGCGGCAGAAAGGTCATGATGCGGCCGGCGCCCTCGAGATGGGCCTTCCAGCCGTGCTTGCCCGACTCGATGAGCTCGACGTTGATGAAGAACAGAACGGCGGCGAGGATGACGTCGCTGCCCATATGTCCATGTTCTGGGAGAGCCTCGTTGAGAAGGCGGCAGAGCCTTTTGCCTTGGCGATGAGCGAGTCCATGAGGGCGCGACGGGAGGCTTCCTCGCTGCGATGGATGATCATGCCACTGGCATCGTGGGCAGCTATCGCAGCCATCGAGGGCTTGGTGAGGTTGGAGAGATGAGCAGCAGAGGCGGCGACGATGACATGCTGGAGTAGAGGGTTTCCTTGAGTTAAGGGGATGAGGCTGCGGAAGGGGTTGCGGTCTGGCAGGTCGTGGGAGACGAGATCCTTGACGAGCCGGGTCGTGACTGTACAGCGTTAACTAAGAGGCACGGGTGTATTACGAGATGGGGCCTTGGCTCTCACAGTAGGACAGGTAGTAGCGGTAGGGCTGATCGATGTCTTGGAATATGGGGTCGACGAGCACCCACGGCGTCGCGGGCACGCCGTGCGCATGGCCTGGTGTCGCGGGCGGCGACCGGCGGCACAGCTGCCTGTCAACAACGTGGTCAGGTTCGGGGCCGTCATGGGATGCAGAGGGGCCCGGGACGACGTGACTCCGGACTGCTGCACCTCCCCTGCTCGCATGACGGAGTGCGCTGCTGCTGTTCACAGGAAGAGCAGTGGCGGATGAGGAGGCCCGATAAGGCGCCGCCGAAGACGAAGGCGAAGAGGAAGACGACAGGAGACAGGCGGCCGAGGACTTGCCGGCGAGCTTGCCTCGGCTGGCGACACCGTCGGCCCATTTGTAGAGCTTGCCGTAGCCCAGACACTCGTGGCCGGCAGTTGTGCACTTGTGGCAGCTGGGATAGGAGCGGTCGCAGCGGAGGCGGCGGCGGCGGCAGTTGTGGCAGGCCTTGGTCGGGGCCTGCTGGAGGAGATCTGCGTTGGCCATGCCGCAGCTGCTTCGGGGTTCCCTTTTCGGCCAAGACAAGAGAGACGACAGGGCCAGACGAGACAAGGTTGTCAGGAGAAAGACGTGTGTCACGCAAGGCGAGCTCACGCCTGGGTGGGTCGCCGCACAGAGCAGGGCCTGGGATGGGTGGACGGAGAGATGGACCGGGAATGGGTCGACGGAGAGATGCAACGGGGCATCCAGGCGGGCATGGTTGTTTGCGTATGTAGGGGGAGAAGTGCAGTCCAGGGTGTGTGTGCGTGTGTGTATGTGTGTGTGTGTGTGTGTGCGTCTGGAACGACGACGACGTTGGATGGACATGCGCCGCTCGGAAGGAAAAAACGACGTGATGTCTCTCCGCCTCTCCAGCTCTCCTTCCCTTGGTTTGACTCGGACAGGTCGGCGCAGGCACGAGGGGTCCTCGTAGCGGGACCGGAGCCGACAGCCCCCACCGTCTCTTGCCCAGGACGGACAGTTGACTAGTCCGGATGAGGTAGTCAAGAGGCAAGACGTGCAGGCGAGGCCGCTAGTGTGCTTACAGTGTGCCTGCCAACCGTTCTCGGGTTTTGCTTATGTCATAATTCGACGTTCGGTCATTGGCTCCAGGTGCAAACTTGGCTTTGGCAAGCGCGTCATAGCCTTTTTCTCTCTTGCCTCTTGATTTCTGACATTGACGTGAGGTAGGTGCAAAGGGTCCATTCGTGTCCATGCCTAGGTAGGAATACTGAAGTATGACTGCCCGTTTCCATCTGCCGGGATTTTGTCACCCTGCTAAAGAAGCTGCTGAGTAAAGCACCCAAATGACACATTTCTAATACGTTTTAACCCGAAATAGGCAGTCCTTTGCATGTGTTGCAGCTGCTTCGTGATGTCGCCCTTTCTCTGTCATGCTTCCTTCTTGCTTCTCTCCTCCCCTCCCCTCCCCTCCTCGCTCATCCCAATGCCCTGAATCCATGGTCCTCTCGCATGACCAATCTTCATCTCGACATATTTTTCTGATCCAAATCGCTTGCTATTTATCCTGCGATCTGCCAGCCAGTTCTTGGCCGTCTTGGTCCTTACCCACAGCCAACTCCTCTTGACTAATTATATACCCATTCGGCTCACCTTGGCCCATCTTGGCCGTGGACCTTGATCACAGCCTGTGTACTCGCCCACCGCCACACCCTCTCGGCAACAATCCGACACACCACCATGCCGTCGTTGCAACACTGCTCGTCGAGACCCCGCTCGCCATCGCCGTCTCCATCACGGACCCGATCCCGATCCAGGTCTCAGACAGTCCGGACTGCCCCCGGTGCCGATCCCGAAGCGACCGCCGGTGCCCATGTCATCGACTACGAGACACTCGGCCGCCAGCGCCCTGCCGCCTTCCACAACCTCTGGTCCGAGCTGGGCTTCTGTTTCGCCCTGCTCGGCTCCATGCTCATGTCCGAGTTCTTCATCTCGGGCTTCCACATCATCCTGCCACCGCTCGCCGTCGAGCTCGACATCCCCAAGGCATCCCAGACCTGGCCCTCGAGCGTCTTCTCCCTCATCACCGGCGCCTTTCTGCTGCCCTTTGGCCGCCTCGGCGACATGTACGGAGGCTACCTCGTCTTCAACGCCGGGCTCGCCTGGATGCTCCTCTGGTGCCTCGTCGCCGGCTTCAGCCAAAACTACATCATGCTCATCGTCTGCCGCGCCCTGCAGGGCCTCGGTTGCGCCGCCTTTCTGCCCGCCGCATCATGCTGCTCGGCAAGACTACGCCCCGGCCCCCGCAAGACTCATCTTCGCCATCTACGCGCCTTTGCTCCCTTGGCTTCTTCTTCGGCATT